CCCCCCCCCCCTGAACTGTCTGATATTGCACCGAATTGGTTGATGATTTTATATCCGAGGTATTGTCATATTTTGATGAAAATCTATTACAAACGAATTAGGTTTTTTTTTTATATATATATATAAAGCAACAGTGACCCTATAGCCTTGACCCTGGAACTTTAAAATACAGTGATGTCGGAGATGTTCTCATGCTTGACCTTTGTATAACATTTGATCAAAATCTGTCAAAGAGAATCGCGACGGGACCGACATGGGCAACACTATATTATATGATTAAGGCGTATACGTATACGTCTATGAAATAAGACGGTCGTTTGCTCTCCCAACAAAAAGTAGGAACGATAAAGAAATTGACATATATGTATTGCTTTCACACATGCAGTAACAGCCAAATCAAAGTAAATGACATAATAGATATTTTTTTATGACTGGTGCTAATTCCCAGCAAAATTGCCTTCGGCCTCTGTGAATATTGTTCAGACCAGGTTCGTACCATCAACCGTTGTCTGTTGTAGGAGTTGCTTCCCTTGTACTCCAGTTCCGTTGAGTGAGGATTCTTATGTCATTCTTCTGAATCACACCCATCGACCTAAAGATTACCTACCACAAGTTAAATCGTTGCATTTAACAATCCCTATACCAACAGAAATGACTTCCTTTGTACAGACCCCCCCCCTTTTTTTTTTTGCTCAGTTACGGTAGCATTGTTTATTTGCCCGGCTATGAAAGCCAGACAACTGTAATTACAGAAGCCTCGGTTACAACTTCAATTTTCCCAATCTTTCATAAACAGAAAACATGCTTTCTGCAGCTTTGGGGGCTGGAAGTTCACTTCTTAAATAGTTTACAAGTTAACATTCAAAACGCCATTGCTACAACCAGAGGTGTAGAATGTCTCTGCTACTAAAAAAGGTACCGTGACACAGAATAATAAGCCCAGATTTTAAAAATCATTTAAAAAGGCAAAAATAAAATTTATTAAAAACCAAGTTGCTGGAAATACAAGTCTAACTTTGTTGCCGGGAGCTTAAAACGAACGCAGCTAATTCAAATTTTCCTGTCGCTGGCTAAACTAGTCCCGTGGCTCAACTGGCCCCCTTCTCCCTTCATAATTATAATTAGATGTTTTGTACAAGTTATCTAAATGTGGCCATTTGAATGATAATTTTTTCATGAAAAGACCCATTTCTTTTCTGCATGTCCTCGTAATAATCATACAAATATGTCCGTAAGGTTTTTAAATAAATATTACAATATTTATATCCTTTGGATCATCGACTTAGATCTAGATTCTATATATAGCTAATCTAATATTGTTGTTTAATTACTTTTTTAGTACACGCATGTGTTTTAAGGTCTGAAAGTTTCTGAAATTTTGATATCTTTCTGTAAAGTGTAAAATCGCATTTGTTGTGACCAATATTTTACAATCTACCATTTTATCTAATTAATTTGTAAAAAAGTGCCATTGTGTGAATTTTGGAATTTATGATTATGTTAATATAATTACTTCTGCCGAATCTGTTTGCTTTAAATAAACAACAAAATATGTTTAAATCATGATACAACAAAAAATATTAATGATGATTTAAGTTTGTTTAAAATGGAGACAGCAACACGAATATTAGGCCTAAATTGAAACACGGTCTCATATTTCATTTATATGTTGTAACGTAAAAGACCTGCAATAATTATATCTCTCTGTTATTCTTATATTTTTTCGACAAACAACGAAATGTATAATAAGCTAGTAAACCGACCAGAATTAATTGAACTTACGATCTCGCGACTTTCCAATATTCCATAAAAAAACTCAACCGAATTTCTACCTGAGATTCCAGAACTTACAATAATTTCTATTGAAATAGTCAAATAAATTATTAAGATTAACACAAATAATATACTTATGCTTTGCCGAGATAAATTTATAAGTATCTCTTTATCTCACATTCACGAACCACCACCGCTCCGGGCCACTAAGATCAAAGCTGTCTTACTTTTTACAGGATGGCAATCTGTGTCACGTGATTTCTGTAAGACACCGGAAGTTGTTGAGTTATATTGCCAAAATGGCGACTGTGATTAATTTGAGGTCTAGGAGTGATCCTTTATGGCACGTCTGAGCGGGAATTACAGCGAAAGATGCCGGAATATGCCTTAAATTCAAATTACATTCGTTGGCCATATTTTAGGTATGTGTTTATACATAGTGTATTTAACAATGTGGTGTACAAGCTGCCGAATTCAAGTGCTGTGTTCCGGTTTATCTTGAAACACAAATTAGCTGAAGACTAAGAATCAAGATTGTTGAAACGGTGTTGTTCTTCGTTTCCAGTCAAAGCTGATTCTGTTAAGTATAGAAAGCAAACTGGATATTGCTTATCGAGATATTGACGTATTGGAATTGGCACATTTTGCATGACTTATTTAAAAACACACCGATATTTTGATTCCACAAACCGATAATGCATGTATTGGCTAGGCAAGCCTGTGTATTGGAACAAGAGTTGACAGGTATGTTCTTAAATAAGGAGTTAATTTTAAAATCCATTGATTGAATTTGGAATATCTTGAACTGAATCGGGTACTCTGGTTCGTTTTTGAAATTCGCTATGGTATATATTATTTATTTGTAAATATTTATAACCTGCACTTGGATGACCCAGATATTAACCATTAACAATGCAAATTCTGGTTGTCATTTCTTTACTGTGAATGGTTTCTACCATACTGATTCTGATATGTTTAAGGAATTCACAAAGCCTGTTGTTTAATATTACATTTAAACACAAGGTGCCTATTTGGAATTGATCAGTTATTAAACAAGATTTAAAAAATGGACACAACATCTCTTGGACAGTTCCATATACCAAATGGTAATAACAGAAAAAATGTATATAGGGTTATAACAGGTCCTGAAAGCAATCCTTGGTTTTGGCAGTTGTACTTATTTCAAGAGAACATCGGCTGGCTGTGACATGTGCAGTGGTGATAAATTATCCTATGTATTTGCTATCGATACATTGTATAATTATTTTTTTACCAAGACATTAAAGCCATTTTGGTCTCTGCAGAGTATTACATATAGATAGATAGCAGACTGCTAGTGTCAAGCTAAATTGTCATGTAATTATTGCATGACCTTTTCAGATTATAGATATTACCTGTAGGTGGCATATTGACCTAGTGATATATACGGCTGTATGTTCGTTTAATATGATAATCTGCTCACATCCCATGGACCATCAGTATATGCTCTGGAGTCGCATATCTTAATCTGTATGCTTATTTAGATCTGAATGCTGAAAATGAGTCTTGATTCCTTTAGTAAACCAGAAAGAAATCGAAGGTATAAATATATATTATATATATACATTATGTTACTGTTTGCCAGCAGTGATCACGTTTTAGATAAAGTATTTTCTTTTGCAGTGATTTTTGTGACACAGATTCCTAAACTCATGCTCTCTCTGTTGGACTCGCCCATATTTTGAGATACCTCCATATATATGTGTCTTAGTAATGGGACTGATTAGCAATTTAAAAAAAAGATGTCAAGGACTTGTGTGAAAATATCCACAACTGGGGCTTGGGACATCTACTGAGCTGTTCACAAAAACTGGTGCACAATATCATATTTGGACGTTAGACTACAGGCAGATTTTGAAATTTTTTACAAGTCTGACCTATATTTTTTTATTGTAAAAATTTTAAATTTTCTTGCAGAAATACAGATGGAGGTGTGAAGAAAATCTGATATGGCGTTATTTACTACATTTTGTACCTGTCTTCTGGTGTGGCAGTTCGCATGTAAGTAAAAATTCAAAGATTTAGTGGTCTATATCTGTTTTATGTGCATGTTATCCTTTTTTTCTGGCACAAGCATTCAATTAAAATGGTAGTTTTTACTCCTGCTTAACGCTCAGCAGTTTAGGAGGGGGACGACTGGTTCGCCCGTTGTCAGTATAATGTGACCGCATGGAGTGTCCTGCTGGGTGTCTTCGGCAGTATGTTTCAATGAGGTAGCACTATAAAGTCGGCATCAGTTCCACGCTATCACAAGGAGACAAACATGAATATATTGCAGCCTCCCAAAACACACAGGCATACACTACACGCATGCATCTTGCACACAGGGGAGGCCGTCCTTAAATGACCAAAGCTGTTAATAGGATGTTAAACAAAATTTAACCAAACCAAACCAAACCAAGCATTCAATTGCTTAGCACCCAGGTCGCGTATTGGGTATTACACTGTAATTATAGAGCTAAGAGAAACTATTTTTCATTTGTCTTGTATAATTACTGTGTGAACATTAGTGATACTCTGGAGTTATAGTGTTTAGAGGCACACAAATTGATTTGATTACCAAATTGTTTTAACCAATAGTAATTACTCAGTCCTAATATCAATTTATTGTATCTTGATTGAAGTTGATATACTATACAGTTGTTGGATATTCAAGGTAACAGGTAAATAAATACATTGCGTTTCAAATTTCATTTAATTTGTATCTAACTCTTTAATTATACAATTTTTGATTAATCAGAGTTTTTTTGAAATAACAAATTGTGTATTGAGATGTTTTGGTACTATCATGTTTCATAGATTTGTTTAGTGAAATCTGTCTATATGATGAACACATCCATGTGCAATGAACCCTGTTTGAACTGAATGAATCCATATACAATGAACAGTGTCTAAAGTGAATACACCCATACAAACTCTGAACACTGTCCCAAATGAACACATCCAGTATATTGATATAAAATGAAGTTACAAAACCCCCGAAAAAACACATAATTTATATACATTGGAAGTCATCTAAACAATATGTTTCTTAATGTCAGGTTTATTAATGGATTTGCATTACGAAATCATTATTCACAGAGGATTTTTCCCTGTCAGAAACTGAAATGATGCACAAAACATTGCTTTCTGACACGATACAAATGTTATGGAAGAAACAGGTTCCCTAACTTCTAAGGCAGGTTTTCATGTTTTTCTAACTCTTTGTTACTTAATTTTCAAAGTTTTCAAATTGTTAAAAGACAATTGAAAAAAAAGTCTAGTTAGATAAACATGATCACCGGGGTACCAGTCATCACAGGTTGGGGAACTATTCCAGGTTCAGATTACACTAGGGATACATAACCATCACATTATGTGTCATTCTACACACCTTAGTGTATCAGAGTGTAGCTATTGTTGTTTGTAAACACTCCAGCAAACCCTTTGTATACTAATTACCATGTTATTTAATACCCACTGTAGGTTCCTGTAGGGTTGTGCCTCTGACAGGGCATTGTCTAGGTTAAAACACCTTATTGTACTTAGCTGGTCACCATTGATTGTTGTGATAGATACCCTGATCTGATAGCAATAACTAAAAATGTTGGGTATTCCCTTTGTAAACATGTGAAAAGTCCTTTAAATACTATACTAATATTAGCAATGTACTACAACACCTAAAATAAAACACCGGGGAGTGTTTAACTCAAAAACAAATACTGTAGTCTTCACAGTGCCCTCCCCAGAATGTTTTGAAAGAAGCATGGTATTTCAATATTTCTGTTAAAGCAGCACTCTATGTAAAATCAAAGCAGCATGGTAACTTTAGATTTACTATGAATATACAGCAGAGAAGATCTAGGATAGCAGCATGGCAAGAAATTATAGGAGCATGGTGCCATGCTGCCAAAACAGCCTGGGGAGAACACTGCTTCATTAGCTGACTTCACTTTAAAGTCATAATTCATGTCATGCCTACATGTATCAAACCAGCGACCTCAAAGTTAGAGAGTTAACTGTTATATGTTTTTTTCTTTCAAAAACCCAACAAATATATATATCATTTAAAAAATATATATAAATAACTAGATCAAATACAACAATATTTGTGGAGCACAGTCTACTAATTCTGACCTGGGAGAACTAAAGATATAATTGAAAATATTTACATTAAGGATCAGATCAGTTGCAGAGATTAACACTATTTTCAAACATGGTGACTTGACCTCTTTGCCCCAGCTACACAATGTAGCGTAAACAATGGACACAATTAAATGCATTGTGGCTGAAGACATGGGGTTCAGCAATTCAGTCTTTCATTCCAGGTTGGGGCAGATGGCCATCACTAGATCAACTTTGTTCAAAATAAGTTTATGATATTCTTCAAAATGTGGTTTTAACACTGTCAAACTGTCCATTTTAACTGTTTTACAACTAAATGTGATCCTAGAATGAATATTTTGTTATAAATATTGCATAACATTTTCTCGTAACAGGAATTAATCCAGAGTCTCGTTTTGGTACAGAGTCAATTTGTATACAGCAGTGAACACATAGATTGGTTTGGTTAGCAGCTCTTATACGTAGGAGTAGGGTGGACTATACTGGATTTAGATCTGAAGAATGAACTTTTCACAGTATGTTTGCGTTATGAAGAGATTCATTAGAGCCTATGACAAAGGGCTGATTTGAAATTCTACCTGAAGCAAAAAATTGAATAATCAAAATAAGAACAAAAAACAACATGCCTACATGTATCAAACCAGCGACCTCAAAGTTAGAGACCCCAATTGCAGAGTTATTGAAATGGACTAAACATGCCAATAGAATAATCTTTATCAGGACTCCTCTTTCTTGGTTGGGATCTTATTCAGTTGAATTTTATTTATACCAGTAACCAGGTGTTTTGTTTGCCTTGAAGTCATGATATCAAATACTTGCATATTTTCAATTTGACTTCTTGAATGTTTTGAAAAGTAATCTATTTCATATTTATTGACCCGGTTATCAAACTTACCAGAACTTGACAGGAAATGACTCACTAGCATTAAAGCAAGGTAAAACACTGTTATACACACATGTGCTATGTTTTATTTTTCAATCTGTTGAAGAAAATACCACTGATTTAGCTTAAAAGATACTCTTAATTAAATATGGATGGAATTTTTAAATAATAAACACTTACAGTAATGTAAGGTAGATGACCTAGAAATGCTACATTGTATAAATCAGCATCTCTCCGACTTATCATTATCACCATTATTGATCTGTAACACTATATAATATATATATATGGTGATTTGTAAAGATACAGAAATATTATTCTGTTTATAATATATATTGATTACATAAGCAATCCTGTATTGTGTGTATCTTAAAAGCACAGGATGTGTCTGTAAATAGGTAATTTAAGCTGGGAATATAAATATGTGAACACTCCCCAATATACACCAGTAGTATGCACACAGACACATTCTTGTACACACCTGTGACAATTTAACAATACCTGGATGTGACGTCATCTGCATACTATATGTATGATCTTATCGTTAAATATTTATGGAACAGAATCTTCACCACACCTTTAATATTGCAGTCGCTGCAGCTCTAGTAATATCGACAGTTCGCTTGTTTTCCCCCTTTTAGTCAATTGCTAAGCTGGGCGGCTCTCAATTAGAAAATTGATTTTACTCAACCCACTCTTGTAAAAGGTCAGAGCTATATTTGTCTTCACTAATCTGCATGGTGCCATATTTCAAACATTAAATTCAACGCCTGTAATTTTGTGAATGCAATTCATTCACACATGTAGGTCACTGTGACCCAGTCTGAAGTTTGTGGATGACTAGCATTAGATACTGGTACTGTCTGTGATGGTGTTTCTCCAGTCCCACATTATCTCGTCTGTTTTACATGTGAGGACGTAGTGGATTGATACTACTATTGATTTTCCTGTTATCCTCTTAAATACGAGATATTTGTGATATTTCATTCAGGTTGCTACATGTACGTCGGTAATGAAACTTGCCTCAGCACAAACATTAACACCATATACGGAATAATCAATTGTAATTATTTTTTGAAATTAACAAGATCTATGTTTAGGTTTATATGTATGTTGATGTACATACTGTTTTATATAACATGTGTTAAGAGTCGACTCTGGTTTCCATGTAATCCTAATATGTTATATCCGTGTACATGCATATATATATGTAACCGTATAATTATTGTACAGCAAGATTGTCACTCCATAGACAAACCTATATATATACAAACACCAGTTTTATACAGTCGTAAACTTTCTGATCTATTTTCTACCATTGGAACTGCATACACAGTGTAGATTAAGGGACCTATTACCTGTACCGTTACACTACATACAGATAAATGTTTACATGTAGTTAGAGGACGGGTCTTAGATTATTCTTAGTCCAGTCAGAATGGACCACTGCATAAAGGATAATTAGCAGTTTCCTATTGCCTACCATAGCTATTTCGCAAGTATTGAAGAATCCTGCTATTTTTCACCAGTGCAAAACAGGAGAACAAGCTGTCTCAATATGCAACTCTTTGGATATTTTTCCTTTTCTTGAACTATCGTATTTGATATGGTTCTGTTTCTAATCAATTCCTCCTGGAGTTCTGGCTATACTCTGATTAGCCCATAAGCTATAACAAGAATGTGACTGGATGGGATGTCATGCTACATTGAAGCTGTACATGTTATGTCGGACAGTCCAAGCTATAACATTTCAGGGAGACAGCACTTTTTAATGGCCCTTGATCATGAGTGGCCCTTCGTCTATGGACACTGTCATCATACATGATCGTAGTTGGGGTGTGGCCTTATTTTATCGTATGATTAAGGCTTTTGCTTGGATCAGTGTAAAACAAGAAAGTATCAAATCGTTATATATAACTAACAGAAATATGTAGACACAAGTTTTTGCAAAATATCATGTGGAAAGAATTAGTAATCTGCAAATTGTATTAGACATGTATATATATGTACATGA